AATTTCAGAACCATCCTCAGAGATACGAAAAACCAGTTTCATATTATTCTGACACTGCAATAGACCAAAGAAAAATTCGATGGCTCAAGCGGGATTATAATATGAAACTGGTTTTTAATATGAAATATTAATAATACGAAACTGGTTTTTCGTATCTCTGAGGATGGTTCTGAAATAGAATTGAAACACTGCGCGTCCTCTAAGACAAGCGTTAAGTCGTCGCGAAAATATCTCGTGCACTTAAATTGGATAAGACTCGCTACCAATCCCCGTTGACTCAATAGCTCAATGGGTAGAGCGCATAGATATCTTATATACACTAGATAGTGCATCTAGTTATTCTGCAATTCAAAAATTGAAGCCGTGATTGAAGACTCAGGATATTCCCATGAAATGAGAAGACTCGTATGTTTTCTATTTTTACTTGTAAATATAGAATATATTGAATATATATGTTCTTATACCTTGTAATTCCAAAGTAATTCAGTTGTTACTGCTAGTTTGGAAATTTATAATAATAATAATAATAATTTTGTTTTCTATTTCTTAAACAGGGAACTTAAACATTAAGTTAAACCTGTTCCAAATACATTTTCAAACTATTCAAATGATGAAAGTTATTGTTGTTTTTTAAGCGTTTATTAGCGAGTTCGAAAATCCAACATGGCCGCCATCTATTCAAATGGGGGTAACCGCTGGAATATTCTTGGCTTCAATTTTACTAAAAAAGATGCGCTATCTAGTCTATATAAGATATCTATGGTAGAGCCGGCTGTCTAGATATCCGAAGATGCGAGTTCAAATCCCGCTTGAGCCAGCGAATTTTTCGTTGGTCGACTGCAGTGTCAGAATAATATGAAACTGACCTTTCCATTTAAGGTGGCCCCAAGTTGAAAACAGTGTAGTTATGACGTAATTATCGAAAGAGTGTATTCTGAGGTGAAAAAATTACTGTTGACGCTACAAAGCGCACAATTAATGATTCCCCTTTTTGCGTTTTCGTAGCGCTTTGCATTGTGATTATAGTGGTATCACTGATATTCAAGATGGCTTATTTTTTGTCCTGACCCGTGCAAGAACTAGCCAACAGCAAAATTTCGCGAAAACATTCAATATTTTCATACAATGCAAAGCGCTACGAAAACGTAATAAGGAGAATCTAGTATTCCTCTTCATTAAGTCTAAGAAAAATTTGATTTGAAGGGGAAAAAATCCGATTTTACGGTCTATCTTGACATTCTTATTACCATGGATAATGAAATAAATGGATAGGACTCTAGCTGACGTAAGCAAAAACAACCTAGTTGCAATCTGTGGCGTCACACGTATTGCAAAGTTCTTAGCATTTTTGTTGTTTCGCTATACTTTCCGCTTTAAAAGAGTAGTATTGAAGCATCAACTGGTCTAATTGTTTTAAAAACATGCCTAAGCCACGACAAAGTATTCAAGGTAAATGTTTTTCGTCTTCGTTTTGTATTTTTTTACATTTGTAGCTACGAAATTGGCGTCCCAAATTTTAACGAAATTTGGGATTCATTTTTTACTGTTTAGTGCTTGAAATATTTGCTAAAATTGACTGGGAATACTTAGAGATTTCATCGTAGAATGGCGTAGTTATATTCATTTGCTCTTTGACTAAAATGTTTAGCTGTATTATTGCTAAACATGCCGGTTTTTTTTATTTGGTTTGCAACTAGGTTTCAACATCCAACCACGCCATCAGCCCATTGAAAACATTAGATCACGTCAGCTAGTTTCCTATCCATTTATTTTATTATCCATGTTATTACTATAAAGCACGCATTCCTGGGATATATGAGACAATGATAATTTTTCCGCACAGGGCGTAAAGAATGGACCACCAAGAAACGAGAGTAAAGTTTGGAAGACTGTGAAGGAAAAACACATTCCTAAAGGTTTGTTATTAATCAATTATATCAGATCGATCGTTTTTGAAGCAATTTAAGACATTCGCAGTGCGTGTTTTATCAGACCCTTTATATCTGATAAAACACTGCCTGCCCATGTTTTAAATAGTACCATAAGAGTTCTTTTGAATGAGAAAACTAATTTTCTGTTGCCAATGTCCTTTAAGGCCTGTTTTCGGCTGATGTTTCTCACGTTCGTGTTTACAAAATTGTCTTTTATCAGGTAAATAAATTGAGTTCACTGGTGCTAACTAGTAAGTATAATGCGTTTTTTTTTTACAGTTACGACTTTCAAGGGACCGGAAGGGAATGACTTTGATTCAGATGTTCCATTTGGTCCAACAACAGCTTCCGTCACCAATTCTGTGAGTAAACTGTACATTATATATTTCAAATTACGTATGCAAACTTAAGCCTGATTTCCATTATTGTGTTTTTCGTGTACACGCACGTAAAACTTTGAATCCTTCTAGTTTTTATACAATTTTACAAATAAGTTACTTAACAAATGCATACTAAAACTTGCGGAACACTAAATTCTGTTGCTTTATTTATTTGGTTAGTTCATAAGTAACATTTAAACGGATTTAAAGTTTTACGTGCGTATACGTACGTATGAAAAACGCAACAGTGGAAATCAGCCTTTAGATTAAGTTCACACTACGCCAGAGTGAAAGATGCCAGCTGAATTTACGTGTGTTCACATCGGCCCCGTTACAGTTTGTTTACAAATGAAATTAGCACTCATGTAAACCCAAAATATTTCAAATAGAGCAAAGAAGTTTCAGCGAAAAGCATCCGAATTTACTGTTTTGAGAGCTGAGATCGGCTTGGTTTGCAAAAGCGGTACAAAAAAGTAACGGCGTTTGTGTTGACACGAAGCCGCCAAGCGCTCCGTTTTCATCTTGCTCCGTTTAGAAACCATGCTCAAATTGTTACGACAAAAGTGACGTTTTCAAACCATTTCGCTCTGGCGTGTATAAGTGTGAACACAGAGAAGAGATATACAGAGAGGAAACACGCGTCAAATTATGTCACGCCGATATATTCAGTCTATTAACTATAGAAAATTATGTTAATTCACTATTTTATTAAATTTTGACCATGCAGAGGAAAAAACTATACATATTATAGAAGTATTTATGTGTTTTCTTTTTTATATTTTGAGGAATTTATATCATTCGCTGCTTTGTTTTTTATACATGAGCATCTGAAAATCCCAGCCAGTGCTTTTCACGATTTTAATAAGGAGTAGACAGGGAAAAAACAAACTTTTGCAAAATAAAATGTTATGCTAACACTTTTAATGAAAAGAAATCAATAAAAGTGATCGCGCTTACCGTTATTCTACAATAATTTATTGAACAAAATTTCCATGGGTTTCTCATTTTTTTTAAAAAAAAGCGATTTTCACCTTTCGAACGGCGTTTTCCCTATATTTTGCTATGAAATTTCAGCGACGGCACTGGCTGGAAGATTTTGCGTGGCGCGTGGAACCTGCGTGGAACGCGTGACACAAAAATTCAGGTTATCGAGTGTAACAGACAGTCCTCTCTGACTATATGACTTTTCTGCGCCGTTTTCAAAGCCGTTCTGGCGGAGTCTTATGTTTTACAGAGTTCATAATGAACATCTTATATTAAGGGACCGGTCATAAAGTAACTGCTAGGGTGGGCTGGAGTGATTTGGGATGGGCCATGGAAAATCTTTGGGCAGTTTCGATGGGCCGCCAATTTTTTGGTATGTCCACGGTTGGGCCACCAAACAAAAACCCATGTAAATTATATATTACATAAATATATTAATAATAAAAGTAAACAAAATTATCCAAATTATCAATTGCAATTTGCAAATGACTTTGTTTTATACAACAACAAGAAGCGGTCGAATCACAGCAAATACAACCAACTGGAGAGCAGCTCAGCATTGTAATTGGTGATGAATGTGTTGGTCAAGCTTGGTGGAATTATGTATGTCAATACATGCAGTGCCTGTGTATATTTACAATGTTCATACCTGCAAGTTTTTTTATCAGTTATAAAAGTGTATTTTCCAAATTTAGATTGGGTGGGTCATGAAAATTTTTTTGTAAGATTAGATGGGCTTTGAAATTTTTAACTACATCCTAAGATGGGTCACCAAACTTATTGGCAAAATTTGTGATTTACCTCCAGCCCACCCTAGCAGTTACTTTATGACCAGTCCCTAATCTATCCTTTTATTATAATTTCAGGATTTTTCCCGTTCTTCATGGGAACCAAAAGTCCAAGTACCATACGAAACAGAACCCGGTCAAGTTCCAAGAAAAATTGCCATTGAAAGGTTAGACCTAAAACAGTGACTAGACGTGTTAATGCATTTTTTGGGCTAGGGACTCTAAAATTAAACATTTAAGATATGTCGAAAACAGGCATATCTAAAAGCCACAAACCGCCATGGCTATAAGGTATGCTGAAATCCGTTATCCTTTATTGCCGTAAACCGCATTTTACAACATTTCCCAACCAAACTTTGCAATTTTACTAATTTTATTATGCTCTAGTTCCGGGAATATACTTTTTTTGCCAAGATAAAAAATTAGTATATAATGGGAATTGTCTATTCAACTACTTGTCAACAACTTGTGAGTGACAACCTTGTAGCAACTTGATAAAATAACAGTGTTGTTATCACTTGCTGGCAAGCTTGCTATACAAGCCTGTTGCGAACACATCTTGTTGACATGTTCTTGTCATTTTTCTTGCAGGCTAAAACGTATCTACGGAAGCCAAGACCTTGCGACATTACTGGAACAGCGTGGAGTCTTAACATCCGACTTAATGCCCCATAAAGCTTTCAACATGCGAGTGGATCTCACCAAGGCCGACCCGAAAAACAAGCGCCTCTATCCACCCTTTCTTTCCTTGGATATTTTTGACAACACGGAGTATGATTGTCGCAATCCACAAGAATGGTTGAATCTTGGAGTGGTGAAGGGTAAACAGAGACCAGTGCCTGGCAAGGCATTATTGTCGTTGACTGGAAAAGATGTCGCCGATCCTGACAGGTATGATCCGATCACTAAATGTGGCTGTAATGATATCTTTTTATAAACGCTATATATGGTTTAGCCGCAGATTCCTTATGTAATGCTGAACCGCAAGGTTGTATGCTATACTCCTCCTGTAGTAACACTGGATCAATAAGAGATGATCCTTACTGGACCTCTAGGCAGAACAGTTTAGAACTGATAGAGCTATACAGTATAAATAAAGTTAGTTCAGTTTAGATTTCCTCCTGTAGTAACACTGAATCAATAAGAGATGATCCTTACTGGACCTCTAGGAAGAACAGTTTAGAACTGATAGAGCTATCCAGTATAAATAAAGTTAGTTTAGTTTAGGTTTCCTCCTGTAGTAACACTGGATCAATAAGAGATGAACCTTACTGGACCTCTAGGAAGAACAGTTTAGAACTGATAAAGCTATCCAGTATAAATAAAGTTAGTTAAGTTTATGTTTCCTCCTGTAGTAACACTGGATCAATAAGAGGTGATCCTTACTGGACCTATAGGGAGAACAGTTTAGAACTGATAGAGCTATCCAGTCTAAATAAAGTTAGTTTAGTTTAGGTTTCCTCCTGTAGTAACACTGGATCAATAAGAGATGATCCTTACTGGACCTCTAGGAAGAACAGTTTAGAACTGATAGAGCTATCCAGTATAAATAAAATTAGTTTAGTTTAGGTTTCCTCCCGTAGTAACACTGGATCAATAGGAGATGAACCTTACTGGACCTCTAGGAAGAACAGTTTAGAACTGATAGAGGAATCCAGTATAAATAACAATGCATAATGTTTTTCAGGTTTAAATGGTTGGACGTTGGCGTCCTCAACTACAACCCACAAACCAAGCTGTACTTCGTCAGGGCAGTTGCTCCGGGTGGTATACAACACAATGTGATCCCTAAGGGTACACAACTGAACGCTTATATCAAACGAGATGACGAGAAATCCAAAGCGATCCCTCTTCCACCCTCGCTGACCACGGAGGGCTGTTGGATACCACGCGTTCGTCTCATGTTCTGCGCCGAAGATCCCGTGATTTTTGCAGACAGGGTTGCACATGCGTACAACCTCAGACTTGAAACCGAGGCGCTCTTGAGATATCATCTGTATGTCGATTGTATGCCTGTGGACGGCGTGGCGGAGCTTGAAACATGCTCGCTGGATCGCATGGTCGAGTGGGGAAGTGAAAATAGCATGTTAAAGAAAGGACCTTGGTATGATGATTTAAGCAAAAAATACTCATTAGGGCCATTTATACGAGACAAAATAAGACGCGACTTACATAAGACGCGACTTAAATAAGACGCGAGTTTGTCGTATAAACGGCACGAAATTGATATTTGTGGTGTTACTCTGAGTGTATATCCACACCGGGCGAGCTTGAAAAATATGCCCGGCCACGGTGGGATTCGAACCTACGACCTTTGGAATACTAGCCCAATGCTCTTCCAACTGAGCTACGCGGTCAGGACGGTTCGAGTAAGTGATATTTCGGAACTGAATCTAGCTCCTTTGATACCAATGTATTCTAGTAATATGAATTTTTTCTGTGTTGGTGTAGATTCAGTTCCGAAATATCACTTACTCGAACCGTCCTGACCGCGTAGCTCAGTTGGAAGAGCATTGGGCTAGTATTCCAAAGGTCGTAGGTTCGAATCCCACTGTGGCCGGGCATATTTTGGAAGCTCGCCCGGTGTGGATATGCACTCAGAGTAACATCGCAAACATATTATTCACCTGAGTACACAACACCAACACAGAAAAAAAATTCATATTACTAGAACACATTGGTATTGAAGGAACTAGATACTGTTCCGAAATATCACTTACTCGAACTGTCCTGACCGCGTAGCTCAGTTGGAAGAGCATTGCGCTAGTATTCCAAAGGTCGTAGGTTCGAATCCCACCGTGGCCGGGCATATTTTTCAAGCTCGCCCGGTGTGGATATGCACTCAGAGTAACATCGCAAACATATTATTCACCTGAGTACACAACACCAACACAGAAAAATATTCATATTACCAGAACACATTGGTATTGAAGGAACTAGATACTGTTCCGAAATATCACTTACTCGAACCGTCCTGACCGCGTAGCTCAGTTGAAAGAGCATTGGGCTAGTATCCAAAGGTCGTAGGTTCGAATCCCACCGTGGCCGGGCATATTTTTCAAGCTCGCCCGGTGTGGATATGCACTCAGAGTAACATCGCAAACATATTATTCACCTGAGTACACAACACCAACACAACAAAAAAAATTCATATTACTAGAACACATTGGTATTGAAGGAACTAGATACTGTTCCGAAATATCACTTACTCGAACCGTCCTGACCGCGTAGCTCAGTTGGAAGAGCATTGGGCTAGTATTCCAAAGGTCGTAGGTTCGAATCCCACCGTGGCCGGGCATGTTTTTCAAGCTCGCCCGGTGTGGATATGCACTCAGAGTAACATCACAAACATATTATTCACCTGAGTACACAACACCAACACAGAAAAAAATCATATTACAAGAATACATTGGTATTGAAGGAACTAGATACTGTTCCGAAATATCACTTACTCGAATCGTCCTGACCGCGTAGCTCAGTTGGAAGAGCATTGGGCTAGTATTCCAAAGGTCGTAGGTTCGAATCCCACCGTGGCCGGGCATATTTTCAAGCTCGCCCGGGGTGGATATGCACTCAGAGTAACAGCGCAAACATATTATTCACCTGAGTACACAACAGCAACACAGAAAAAAAAAATTCATATTACTAGAACATATTGGTATTGAAGGAACTAGATACTGTTCCGAAATATCACTTACTCGAACCGTCTTCACCGCGTAGCTCAGTTGGAAGAGCATTGGGCTAGTATTCCCAAGGTCGTAGGTTCGAATCCCACCGTGGCCGGGCATATTTTTCAAGCTTGCCCAGTGTGGATATGCACTCAGAGTAACATGGCAAACATATTATTCACCTGAGTACACAACACCAACACAGAGAAAAAAAAAATTAATATTACTAGAACATATTGGTATTGAAGGAACCAGATACTGTTCCGAAATATCACTTACTCAAACCGTCCTGACCGCGTAGCTCAGTTCGAAGAGCATTGGGCTAGTATTCCAAAGGTCGTAGGTTCGAATCCCACCGTGGCCGGGCATATTTTTCAAGCTCGCCCGGTGTGGATATGCACTCAGAGTAACATCGCAAACATATTATTCACCTGAGTACACAACACCACCACAGAGAAAAAAAAATTCATATTACTAGAACATATTGGTATTGAAGGAACTAGATACTGTTCCGAAATATCACTTACTCGAACCGTCCTCACCGCGTAGCTCAGTTGGAAGAGCATTGGGCTAGTATTCCAAAGGTCGTAGGTTCGAATCCCACCATGGCCGGGCATATTTTCAAGCTCGCCCGGTGTGGATATGCACTCAGAGTAACATGGCAAACATATTATTCACCTGAGTACGCAACACCAACACAGAGAAAAGAAAAATTCATATTACTAGAAGATATTGGTATTGAAGGAACCAGATACTGTTCCGAAATATCACTTACTCGAACCGTCCTGACTGCGTAGCTCAGTTGGAAGAGCATTGGGCTAGTATTCCAAAGGTCGTAGGTTTGAATCCTACCGTGGCCGGGCATATTTTTCAAGGTCGCCCGGTGTGGATATGCACGCAGAGTAACAGCGCAAACATATTATTCACCTGAGTACACAACACCAACACAGAAAAAAAAAATTCATATTACTAGAACATATTGGTATTGAAGGAACTAGATACTGTTCCGAAATATCACTTACTCAAACCGTCCTGACCGCGTAGCTCAGTTGGAAGAGCATTGGGCTGGTATTCCAAAGGTCGTAGGTTCGAATCCCACCGTGGCCGGGAATATTTTTCAAGCTCGCCCGGTGTGGATATGCACTCAGAGTAACATCGCAAACATATTATTCACCTGAGTACACAACACCAACACAGAGAAAAAAAAGTTCATATTACTAGAACATATTGGTATTGAAGGAACTAGATACTGTTCCGAAATATCACTTACTCGAACCGTCCTCACCGCGTAGCTCAGTTGGAAGAGCATTGGGCTAGTATTCCAAAGGTCGTAGGTTCGAATCCTACCATGGCCGGGCATATTTTTCAAGGTCGCCCGGTGTGGATATGCACTCAGAGTAACAGCGCAAACATATTATTCACCTGAGTACACAACACCAACACAGAGAAAAAAAAATTCATATTACTAGAAGATATTGGTATTGAAGGAACCAGATACTGTTCCGAAATATCACTTACTCGAACCGTCCTGACTGCGTAGCTCAGTTGGAAGAGCATTGGGCTAGTATTCCAAAGGTCGTAGGTTCGAATCCTACCGTGGCCGGGCATATTTTTCAAGGTCGCCCGTTGTGGATATGCACTCAGAGTAACAGCGCAAACATATTATTCACCTGAGTACACAACACCAACACAGAAAAAATTCATATTACTAGAACATATCGGTATTGAAGGAACTAGATACTGTTCCGAAATATAACTTACTCGAACCGTCCTGACCGCATAGCTCAGTTGGAAGAGCATTGGGCTAGTATTCCAAAGGTCGTAGGTTCGAGTCGGGCCGTGGCCGGGCATGTTTTTCAAGCTCGCCCGGTGTGGATATGCACTCAGAGAAACATCGCAAACATATTATTCACCTGAGTACAGAACACCAACACAGAGAAGAAAAAAATTCATATTACTAGAACATATTGGTATTGAAGGAACTAGATACTGTTCCAAAATATCACTTACTCGAACCGTCCTGACCGCATAGCTCAGTTGAAAGAGCATTGGGCTAGTATTCCAAAGGTCGTAGGTTCGAATCCTACCGTGGCCGGGCATATTTTTCAAGGTCGCCCGGTGTGGATATGCACTCAGAGTAACATCGCAAACATATTATTCACCTGAGTACACAACACCAACACAGAAAAAAAAATTCATATTACTAGAACATATTGGTATTGAAGGAACTAGATACTGTTCCGAAATATCACTTACTCGAACCGTCGTGACCGCATAGCTCAGTTGGAAGAGCATTGGGCTAGTATTCCAAAGGTTGTAGGTTCGAGTCGGGCCGTTGCCGGGCATGTTTTTCAAACTCGCCCGGTGTGGATATGCACTCAGAGTAACATCGCAAACATATTATTCACCTGAGTACAGAACACCAAAACAGAGAAGAAAAAAATTCATATTACTAGAATATATTGGTATTGAAGGAACTAGATACTGTACCGAAATATCACTTGCTCGAACCGTCCTGACCGCGTAGCTAAGTTGGAAGAGCATTGGGCTAGTATTCCAAAGGTCGTAGGTTCGAATCCTACCGTGGCCGCGCATATTTTTCAAGGTCGCCCGGTGTGGATATGCACTCAGAGTAACAGCGCAAACATATTATTCACCTGGGTACACAACACCAACACAGAAAAAAAAAATTCATATTACTAGAACATATTGGTATTGAAGGAACTAGATACTGTTCCGAAATATCACTTACTCGAACCGTCCTGACCGCGTAGCTCAGTTGGAAGGGCATTGGGCTAGTATTCCAAAGGTCGTAGGTTCGAATCCCACCGTGGCCGGGCATATTTTTCAAGCTCGCCCGGTGTGGATATGCACTCAGAGTACCATCGCAAACATATTATTCACCTGAGTACACAACACCAACACAGGAAAAAAAAATTCATATTAGTAGAACATATTGGTATTGAAGGAACTAGATACTGTTCCGAAATATCACTTACTCGAACCGTCCTGACCGCGTAGCTCGGTTGGAAGAGCATTGGGCTGGTATTCCAAAGGTCGTAGGTTCGAATCCCACCGTGGCCGGGCATATTTTTCAAGCTCGCCCGGTGTGGATATGCACTCAGAGTAACATGGCAAACATATTATTCACCTGAGTACACAACACCAACACAGAGAAAAAAAAAATTCATATTACTAGAACATATTGCTATTGAAGGAACCAGATACTGTTCCGAAATATCACTTACTCAAACCGTCCTGACCGCGTAGCTCAGTTCGAAGAGCATTGGGCTAGTATTCCAAAGGTCGTAGGTTCGAATCCCACCGTGGCCGGGCATATTTTTCAAGCTCGCCCGGTGTGGATATGCACTCAGAGTAACATCGCAAACATATTATTCACCTGAGTACACAACACCAACAGAGAAAAATTCATATTACTAGAACACATTGGTATTGAAGGAACTAGATACTGTTCCGAAATATCACTTACTCGAACCGTCCTGACCGCGTAGCTCAGTTGGAAGAGCATTGGGCTAGTATTCCCAAGGTCGTAGGTTCGAATCCCACCGTGGCCGGGCATATTTTTCAAGCTTGCCCGGTGTGGATATGCATTCAGAGTAACATGGCAAAAATATTATTCACCTGAGTACACAACACCAACACAGAGAAAAAAAAAATTCATATTACTAGAAGATATTGGTATTGAAGGAACCAGATACTGTTCCGAAATATCACTTACTCGAACCGTCCTCACTGCATAGCTCAGTTGGAAGAGGATTGGGCTAGTATTCCAAAGGTCGTAGGTTCGAATCCTACCGTGGCCGGGCATATTTTTCAAGGTCGCCCGGTGTGGATATGCACTCAGAGTAACAGCGCAAACATATTATTCACCTGAGTACACAACACCAACACAGAAAAAAAAAATTCATATTACTAAAACATATTGGTATTGAAGGAACTAGATACTGTTCCGAAATATCACTTACTCGAACCGTCCTGACCGCGTAGCTCAGTTGGAAGAGCATTGGGCTGGTATTCCAAAGGTCGTAGGTTCGAATCCCACCGTGGCCGGGCATATTTTTCAAGCTCGCCCGGTGTGGATATGCACTCAGAGTAACATCGCAAACATATTATTCACCTGAGTACACAACACCAACACAGAGAAAAAAAAATTCATATTACTAGAAGATATTGGTATTGAAGGAACCAGATAGTGTTCCGAAATATCACTTACTCGAACTGTCCTGACTGCGTAGCTCAGTTGGAAGAGCATTGGGCTAGTATTCCAAAGGTCGTAGGTTCGAATCCTACCGTGGCCGGGCATATTTTTCAAGGTCGCCCGGTGTGGATATGCACTCAGAGTAACAGCGCAAACATATTATTCACCTGAGTACACAACACCAACACAGAAAAAAATTCATATTACTAGAACATATTGGTATTGAAGGAACTAGATACTGTTCCGAAATATCACTTACTCGAACCGTCCTGACCGCGTAGCTCAGTTGGAAGAGCATTGGGCTAGTATTCCAAAGGTCGTAGGTTCGAATCCCACCGTGGCCGGGCATATTTTTCAAGCTCGCCCGGTGTGGATATGCACTCAGAGTAACATGGCAAACATATTATTCACCTGAGTACACAACACCAACACAGAGAAAAAAAAAAATTCATATTACTAGAAGATATTGGTATTGAAGGAACCAGATACTGTTCCGAAATATCACTTACTCGAACCGTCCTGACCGCATAGCTCAGTTGGAAGAGCATTGGGCTAGTATTCCAAAGGTCGTAGGTTCGAGTCGGGCCGTGGCCGGGCATGTTTTTCAAGCTCTGCCGGTGTGGATATGCACTCAGATAACATGGCAAACATATTATTCACCTGAGTACAGAACACCAACACAGAGAAGAAAAAAATTCATATTACTAGAACATATTGGTATTGAAGGAACTAGATACTGTGCCGAAATATCACTTACTCGAACCGTCCTGACCGCGTAGCTCAGTTGGAAGAGCATTGGGCTAGTATTCCAAAGGTCGTAGGTTCAAATCCTACCGTGGCCGGGCATATTTTTCAAGGTCGCCCGGTGTGGATATGCACTCAGAGTAACAGCGCAAACATATTATTCACCTGAGTACACAACACCAACACAGAAAAAAAAAATTCATATTACTAGAACATATTGGTATTGAAGGAACTAGATACTGTTCCGAAATATCACTTACTCGAACCGTCCTGACCGCATAGGTCAGTTGGAAGAGCATTGGGCTAGTATTCCAAAGGTCGTAGGTTCGAGTCGGGCCGTGGCCGGGCATGTTTTTCAAGCTCGCACGGTGTGGATATGCACTCAGAGTAACATCGCAAACATATTATTCACCTGAGTACAGAACACCAACACAGAGAAAAAAAAAATTCATATTACTAGAACATATTGGTATTGAAGGAACTAGATACTGTGCCGAAATATCACTTACTCGAACCGTCCTGACCGCGTAGCTCAGTTGGAAGAGCATTGGGCTAGTATTCCAAAGGTCGTAGGTTCGAATCCCACCGTGACCGGGCATATTTTTCAAGCTCGCCCAGTGTGGATATGCGCCCAGAGTAACATCGCAAACATATTATTCACCTGAGTACACAACACCAACACAAAAAAATTCATATTACTAGAACACATTGGTATTGAAGGAACTAGATACTGTTCCGAAATATCACTTACTCGAACCGTCCTGACCGCGTAGCTCAGTTGGAAAAGCATTGGGCTAGTATTCCAAAGGTCGTAGGTTCGAATCCCACCGTGGCCGGGCATATTTTTCAAGCTCGCCCGGTGTGGATATGCACTCAGAGTAACATCGCAAACATATTATTCACCTGAGTACACAACACCAACACAGAAAAAAATCATATTACTAGAACACATTGGTATTGAAGGAACTAGATACTGTTCCGAAATATCACTTACTCGAACCGTCCTGACCGCATAGCTCAGTTGGAAGAGCATTGGGCTAGTATTCCAAAGGTCGTAGGTTCGAATCCCACCGTGGCCGGGCATATTTTTCAAGCTTGCCCGGTGTGGATATGCACTCAGAGTAACATCGCAAACATATTTTTTTCCTCTTTTCTATGTGTGCAAACAATTTATTTGCACTTTTTTGTCTTTGCAAACAATTTTTTTAAGAATTTTTCATCCCCCCCCCCTCCAAAAAAATAATGGTCCGTCCCTTAAGGCCCGGTCACACTAGACAATGATAAACACACAATAATTAGGAAAAAAATTGTGTTAGTGTGCATACTACAATGAAAATAATAAAATTATCGTTTGATAACGATAACGATTTTAAAATCGCTCACCTGAGCAATTTTTTTTTCAGTCGGACGTTAACAATAAAATTTTGACCAATCAGTGCGCATATACAAGTTATCGTATCGTTATCGTTGTGCAGTGTCACCTGGGCTTTCTATTGCAGATGTCGATGGAGACAGGCTCAATACCTATCTGAAGACGCATACATGTATCTGCGAAAAAAACTTGATTCACATTTTGTATTTTTTGAAAGAAACTGAATAATGAAGATGACATGGGACAATTGAAATATTTGATCACTTATTATAATAGCAGATAAGATTTAAAACAGGGCTGTACACAGCGGGGAGGGCGGCAGGGCAAGTGCTCCCCACCCCCGCACCGAGAAAATTTAACTAACTTTATAATGTGATTATGATTGTAACAGATAATTATGCAGTCAGGAAATAAAAATTTCATGCAAACAATATTCAAAGTGTCTATACAGCCAGCTATTTAGTAAACTGTCACCTGTCAGTTCAATCCATACTCATCAAATTTTCAAAACTTTATTGTAATCATATGAAGCAAAAGTTATGTCACTTGTTGTTTACACTTGCCAATGTTAACTGTTGAGTAACATACACAAAATAATTGCACAAAATAATCTACGCCGAAGATACGGCAATATTAACTATAGTCTATAGATAGTATAGTAAATATTTGCCGAACTGGTAAACTCATGTATTATAAAATATGTGGGACATATATTTGCACAAATTTGGTGTTTAAATATATAATATGTGGTATTTGACTACTTACCAGATGAGGATAAGATTCCATGTTGATAAATAACTTCGGAATAATAATGGCGAGAAAACAAGACAGCCAATTCAAGATAAATTGATAAAAATATCAAGATATTTTTGAAAGAATAACATGATTTATACACAAGGCCTGACGAAGCTAAAGTACGCCCCCGTTCGCAGGTTAGATGCGGGCACGATGTAAACAATTGATGTAAACTGATCGCTGATTGGCTTAAATTGGCTGAATTATATAAGCTCGTCGCTGAATGGCTATGTGCTACCATACGGTAATATTAACGGCACGTTTGCGATAGCAATATCTCTGCTTCGCAGATACAAAAATGGATGAATCCTCAACAAAATTTCACTCCAGGAGATATCGTATTAATTATATCCCTTTTCAATATGATTCCTTCAAAATTTTGGTTTTCAGTGTTTTAGATATTTCAAGTATTGAACTTTCAGAATCTGCTATTATTTTAGTTGATTAGTTTGGTTTTTAAAGCGAAAAATGCTTTTAAAATGGCCATAGTGAAATATTTTCCCCTTAGCAACGCCTTAGCAACACGTTTTGGCCCATAAAAACGCACGAAAAACAAAAACAAATGAATAAATAAAGGTTTTTGAAGTTTCTACTTTTGATGTATGTGATTTAAAGTCATTTCGAAAGCTGCAATTTGATTGGTCCATTTTTCAAGCACATAGTACTTCATAGCGTGCTACACTTATCGACCGGGCAAATTTGCTAGCGAATACTCCATGATTTCTTCGTATTTATTAAGGACTTACTGCCGTTTTTTGAATAATTTTTGACATAATAATGGGAAATCTGCAAAATAGAAAGAGAAAAAAGAAGAGAAATCCACCATCAAAGGGAAGCAAGAAATTCAAAGATGGCGGCCAACCATCTTCTCAAAACATGGGGGCTTCCCAGACGAAACTTGCTGGTTCACATGGCAAATTTGGTGAGAATTTTGGTGATAGTGACTCCTTTAAAGAAGGCAACTTATGAGCACAAGAAGGGCATTCCCAAGTGCATTGTTGAAGTTATTGAGCCAGTGATTGATGACCTGAGCAAGGCTGAGCTTCTACAAAAGTGCACTCATGGCTTGACTCAAAATGTAAATGAGTGTCTCAATGGGCTAATTTGGGATCGATGTCCTAAAACCACCTATGTGGAACAGGAAACTGTAGCATTGGCAACTTATTTGGCAGTGCTTAAATTTAATGATGGAGACATCTCCTATTTGAAGATATTTGAAGACCTGGACATAAAGCCTGGGATGTTCACCTGCCAAGGTGCTCAAAAATGTGACCAATCTCGGATCCGTTTATCGGCTAAGAAATCCAAAGAGACAGTCAAGAGTAGGAGAAAAACATTAAGACATTTAAGAAAAAAGTATATTGACAATGTAGAAGAGGTAGAAGGAGTGATGTATGAAGCTGGAGGCTTCTGAATGTACGGTAAGGTACTTTGAAAGTAAATGGAAGTTTTAAAATGGATTTTCTCTATTTAGTGATTTGGAAGTTGTTGACGATCTTTGTGATACTGTAAATTTGTAAATATATTTGGGATTGGATTGAAATTTGGCATATTTACTCTTTACAATGTGGGCTATCATGTGACACTATTTAGATGTCAGTATTTGATGTCATTCACAACTTATAGATCAATTAAGAATAAATTAACTGGTTAAAATTGAAATTATTCAAAAAGTTTGATTTTTTATTGTAATTTGTTTTGAAAGTATATTTTAAGAATTTGAAGATTGTCACATAATAGCCCAGGTTCTAAGCTTTGTAAAAATGTATCATTTAATAAATTATGATAGTTGGTTCTCAAGATATTGTGTTTACAATTCGACTTAATTATGTGTTAATTAGTGGCTGCCATATTGGATAATTAGTCTAATTAGTGACTTTTGGAAATTTTTTTTCATTTACTATTTTTCACCTCTTAAACCTTTTAAAATATGCTAACTTTAAGCTAATACCTGTAAAATTGAAAAAAAATCGTCAAAAGGGGTATAACCACCTCAAATTAATAGTCGATGAAATCTCGCCAAGATCATTATGGCCGCTTGGATGTATGCTGAGAGTAAAACCCAATTCCAAGGATGGTTATGTGCAAAGAGTCGTTCTAAAGACAAAATCTACAGTCCTTGAACGTCCAGTGGATAAAATTGTGCTGCTAGAAGCCTCAAATTGAACATTCTCTACGAAACATTTCGGGGCCGGCATGTTGATTTAAAACCAAAGGACAGTTAATCAATTAGTTATGCATGAGTGACACTTTGTGAGTCTTGTGATGTGTTGTTTATGTTTTATGTAAATTAACAGTATTTAATCTAGGTGCTCACAACTTTTCGGCTATCTGTATATTGTCTTGCCGCTGTGTCTATGTCGATGTTCTGACTTTCTACTGGACAGAAAACTAAATAAAACTCTAAAAAACTTTATAATTATCCTAGTTTATCTTATTGTATCTAATTTTTTCCTATCTAATGTGCTTAACTATAGTTCAACTTATTGCATGTAATGTTGGGGATTGCCTCCCTTGTTTCACCCAACAATTCACGTACAAATTAAAACCACAAATAAATTCACAATGACGATATACATATTAGAACAAATAAAACAAATTCAACAAATTGTATATATATATATATATATATTAGAACAAATAAAACAAATTCAACAAATTAAAGGTTCACTTATAGATTCTCTTCGCTCGCAATATCACAAAGTAACACTCTCGAGGAAGTTCGTCTCAACACTAAATGTTTCATGCACACACATGTTTGTATTGTCTTTTGCAATGATCCGAACTTTGTACAAGTTGGTACAACTTGGTACAAGTTGCCAATGTGCTGCTACCCGGCCCCTTGGCATACAAGTTCTCAAAGTGCTGGTACCCCTTGGTACAACTTGCCACTTTGACCAACCTGGTATAATATTCTAAATTTAACTATATAAAATTTATGTAAAGTAATGTTCAATATAAAAGTTTGATCAACCTAAAATCGGAATCGTTATATACAGGGTGTATCAAAATAAACGCAATTCATCTTTTGTGCTTAATAACTTTCGAAATACTATTTCTAGTTAAACGCTTTTAGGCTTACTTCAAAGCCTGTTCTTTTCTCTTTCAAACAAGCTATTATCCTTGTCTCCAATGCTAGTAATAATTGCACAGGAAAAGATTTAGTAAAACCTATCATTTTTAGTTGCTGTTTAATTATGCAAGTTTACTATGTTATTGTTTAGTCGGTTTAAATGTTAGAATTTTCTTCTTTAAACTTTAATGTTGTCGTCACTACATCTGGAAAACCACGTAAGAACAAATTAAAAGTATTTTAAAAGAGACCAGTTTGTTTGAAAATCCTAAACGAATGCTAAAAATCGTCAAAACATTCTGGTGTCTGAGCCAGAGTGTCATCGAATTGCGATGTAATGTAAACAGAAATTATAGCAAGTTGATGTCAGTCAGCTTAGATGGTCCAAGCCAAAATTATATCGCATTTGAAGTTTCAAACTGAGTTAAAAATAGCGGAAGAAAAGCCGTAATTATACTTATTGTTACAATCCATTTAATAAAATGCAACATTTTTGTTTTAATGAAAAAATCAGTTATTTTCATGAGAACGATTTGTTATTCCATCTCAATTTTTTTAATCTCCAATCGCAATAACGTAAAGTACTATTACCCGCGAACCAATGAGTCAAATTTAAGAAACAACCCACTGTTAGAAAGCTGAATACCTACGCCTTAAAATGAATGTAAACTTTAACGTTTTCGTCTATTATTTGTTTAGCAATTTACATTTCAGTCGAGGATTGCGCTTTTTTTGATACACCCTGTATAACTAAAATTAATAATGTGCTATAATAATAATAATGGAAGTCTCCGACACTCTCCCCCCATATAGCTTGCTAGTTGAGGTAATTTCTTTCAGGCTGAAACAGTTGAAACTTTACTACAATCTTTTGAAGAATGATTTGAATCTTCACAATAAACACACACACACGCTTTTTTCGTTCACCGTCCTTGGCATGGTAAAAATCTGATTTTGTGCTGTTACGTTTTGGCAGTGATTTTGAATTGAAATGATCCTGATTTATACTGTCTACTGAATGAATATCCTTCCATTTCTTTAGAGCAATTACTAGCCGTGGGAGGTCCCAATCTTGCCATCCCTCTTCCTCATGCACTAAATCGGCTTTAATTCCCTTTAGTTTTTCTAGGACGTTTATGGTGGTACCATCGACTCTTTCTATTTTACCCAGAGTCTCTAACGATTGGACATTGTATGAAAGTGTCTTACAAAATTCATGCACTTGTGCTGAATTCGATCCAGTTATGATGGGTAATCCCATTATATTTTGAAATTTACCATATTCGTCTTTTAATATATTTTTGGCTTGTTGGTAACCTTCAGTACTGAGAGGTAACCCATCTTCTATATCTTCCCGAATTTTAGGTTCTAGAAGTTCCTTAAGGAAACCAAACTTTGAAACGGCTGGTAAATCAGTGGAATCTATCTCTGCTTCAAATGTATTCCAAAACGGCAACCAGTCAGAATATTTACCACTAAATTTTGTAACTTTTAATTTAGGTAATTTTATGTTTTGTACCTGTTTGGATTTCGTGTCCATCAACGCTTGCATGGTCTTTTGGTACTGCATTGTTTGCTTCCATAGCAGCTCCCCGTGTTCCAAATCTCTCTTCCGTTCAGCTTCTTTTTGAGCTTGTTCCAGCTCTAACTTCGCATGTTCAATTGACAGCTGTTTCTTGGTCTCGTGTCGACAGCGATACGTTGTATTTCCTTGTCCTTTTCGCATTGCACACTGATTTCCTCCTGTTCTATTTCACTCAACATGGCTCAAATTGCATTTAGTGCCGATTCAGCGGTGGTCAATTTTAACTCAACTTCGTATGTTTTCCTCTGAGTCCTTATTGATAAATTTTAACACCTCAATTTCCTCTTTCAACACGTAAAGTGCGCTGATTTTTCTCGCAATCGACTGCACCAAGCACCAAGTCTAGCGCTTTCAATTTCCCAGTTAATTCTTCAATTTTTGTTTCCATTTTGATTTAATCCCGTCTTGGAGGTGCCACTATGTTGGGGATTGCCTCCCTTGTTTCGCCCAACAATTCACGTACAAATTAAAACCACAAATAAATTCACAATGACGATATACAGTTTGGATATATATATATATTAGAACAAATAAAACAAATCCAACAAATTACAGGTTCACTTATAGATTCTCTTCACTCGCAATATCACAAAGTCACCCTCTCGAGGAAGTTCGTCTCAACACTAAATGTTTCATGCACATGCAGATATTTTGTATTGTCTTTTGCAATGACCCGAACTTTATACAAGTTGGTACAAGTACTTGGTACAAGTTACCAATGTGCTGCTACCCGGCCCCTTGGTATACAAGTTCTCAAAGTGCTGGTACCCCTTGGTACAACTTGCCACCTTGACCGACCTAGTATAATATTCTAAATTGAACTATATAAAATTTATGTAAAGTAATGTTCAATATAAAAGTTTGATCAACCTAAAATTGGAATCGTTATATATAACTAAAATTAATAACGTGCTATAATAGTAATAATGGAAGTCACCAACAGTAATTTCCATTTGTTAATAGATTCTATATTGTTACGCCGTTATAGGTAAAAGACGAACAGAACTCAAAAGATTTAGTACATTTATTAAGACTTGTCTTACAACAACCAGACTTGAACAACAACAACATATATCTTAGGTGTATTTTATAGTCCACACCAATTTGCATTTCAAATTATTCACATAGGACGGACAAACATTCAATTATACTGCACACTTGGATGAACACATATTACAAAAGAACACACAAATACAAAGTACATTACACTTTCCCCTCCCAGTTTGTCAGTCCCTGACAACTATCACATTTCCTCAATTAGTCTCTTCGGTTCATTTCATTTTCGTCCACTATGACATAGTGGAATGTCATCTGTCTCTCATTCCGGTGTTGGATTTTGCTGTTCAGGCTTAAAATTGTCAGTGACTATCATGATCATCATTTCCGTGCTTTCCATTATCACTTGTTCCAGGAGGTACAAACCAGTCAAAACGTATGTCTCCATTATATTGCTTTACATTGTTAACATGGACGACCTTTGCCTTGGTTCGTGGACCCTTCTGTATCGTTACAATGACATCATTCAAATGGTTAACCACAACATACGGACCTTCCCATTTCCTGCTAAGCTTAGGTGATCTTCCTTTGCACAGTATGTAACCAAACTCCACTACCAATTGCGAACCTCCTTTGCGATTTTAAGTCATACCTTTGTTTCATTCCACACACATTCACAGCAATATTGTCTCAAGCAAAATTATGGACTTCATCAAGACGATCCCATAACATTTCCGAATAGTCGCTTCCCCTCACTGTTCGTTCCCTGTCTCTTAGTCGCTCTTGTCAAAGATCTACCGGTAATTTTAACTCTCGACCAAACATCATTTGAGCTGGGGTAACTTTGGTAGTTTCATGAATTGCACTCCGATAGGCCATCAGTAAAAATGGAATGTGTTTATCCCATTCTGTGTGGTTTTGGTTTACAAACATCGCAAGTCCATTCTCTAGTGTCCTATTGAACCGTTCGACCATTCCATCGGACTGAGGGTGTCGTACGTGCCTTATAGATGCCCAATAATTCACACACATCTTGGAAGCAGGGTTCGTACATTAATTTATAATTTATGAACTTTACAATCATATAAAATATATAACAATGATTGAAGGTATGGTCAACAGGACATGAGTCCCATGTAAAGACCAACCTGAACATTGCAGGAGCAGCAAAATTCAAGCACCTTTCAAGGACATATTTTGGAAAATTCAAGGACAAGTGAAACCTTGAATTGACTGAAAAGTGCGAGTAGAGCAACAAAATAAAAAATGTTAAAGCACATTGAAATTTTCCTTCAATGAATTGAGAATCAGCACCACAATTACAAAAATAAAAAGTACATATATATGGTTGAACTTTAACATTTAAATTAACACCAACGGATCAAGTTAATTTCTGCAAACAACATGAACATATGTATACAAACTTAAACGTTTATCAGTTTTCTAATCACACACAAACTACAGAATGATAAATTTAAACACTTCAATTCAGTTGATTTGTTGTTGATTTGTTTGTCAAGCTCGATCAGTTTCTTCTTGTTTTGTTCTGCCTTTGACCACATAGCATTGGCTACCGAGATTAATTCCAGTTGTCCCTTTTTCTCTGCATCCAATGAGAATTTCTTAGCTGATTCTTCCAAACTGGCTTGGTTGGCAGAAAATCTCTTTCGCTTGGATTTCAAACCATCAAGCTCTTCCTCAATCAATTTTCTTTTCTGACTAACCATCTGCATAGACTTTTCTTTTTTTTTTGTTCTTTAAGATGCTTGTCATATCGCAATCTTGCTTTAGCTGCTGACTGCAACAGTGCCTTGTCCACGACAACGTTCTTGACTCCACCAACTGAGCAAATGTGGTCACAAACAGTTCTTTGGCTCACATAGGAGTGTTCAGATAAGTTCTCCACCTCTATCTGGTGGTTAATAGAAAATCCCCTTTTAACTGACGCTTGGCCATGTGACAGTAAGAGCATCATCTTTACCACCACCCAAAGCTTAGAAAACTTCTCTTTGTCATTAAGGTAACCATACATAAATGAGTCGAGACAATCTTTGCTGATGTTAAAGTCTTTGAATTTAGATCGCTCTGCAGCGATGACCTCATTAAGGAAGTTGTATTCGTGTTTAATGCCATCACAATCTCTCTCTTCTATTCATTTAAGCTCCACAAGTTTGAAAAGCAACCTCTGTAGATGTTTCTTGCAAGAATCAGGTGATTTTGCGATTTTGCGAGGATCAAGACTTCGACAGGCTTTGCATTGCATCCGGAATTCCATCTTTTGAAGACTACTTACACAGCTGCTGTGAGTTTTCTCAGTAACTTTTCGGCACTAAAACTATTCCATCTTTTGAAGACTACTTATTCCATCTTTTGAAGACTACTTACACAGCTGCTGTGAGGTTTCTCAGTAACTTTTCGGCACTAAAACCAACATCAATCTTCTTGTAGTCACTTTCATGGAGCTTTTCATTTTTGATATCGAAGTTTGCCAGCTTTAATGCTGTTGTTGCATTCTCAATTACGTCGCTCTTACAAAACCTGGACAGAATATCCTTCAGCATATTGTACAAGTCTGTTGCCAGAAATGGAACCATTGGTTTGTCAGTTTGATATAGCCGAAGAAAGGGTGTTACTTCATTCACTACAGACAATGCAAACTGTAACTTGGCCTCTAGTAATTGATCTTTGCAAGCATTCTTAATGGTTTCATACATTCTTGTGTCTGGTTTAGAGGTATTTTTCTCATCCACAGCCTTCACATACGTTTTCAGGTTGGGAAGAACATGCAGAGTCCTTTCTAGAACACTAACATTTTCTACCCAGCGGGTTTTGCAAAATTTCAGTGGCATCAGTGGCATTTCAACACCATCCAAAACTTTCTGGAAGTCCTCTCGACGTGCAGGTGAATCCTTGAAATTTCTATAAAAGCTGGATAGAATATCTGGGAGACCCCAGCCAGTAGACTCTATGCCTTTCCTGTATGCTCTGTGAATGATGTGTAGTCCACAACTTCCAATATTGATAAGGTGCGCACCAGTCTCCAAAAACATATTCTCTTCAAACGTTCTGTAAAGTTTCCAATTTACAGATGGATCATCCTTTGACATTTGAAGGATCCCTCATCTAGGAACTCCTTCAGTAATGTGATCCAGATCCCTCATAAGGTCATCTGCTGTGACCCATAAACTCAGTACCAAAGTATTGACTTGATATATTATCACCATCCCAAAAACGCAAGTGGGCATCCAGTCGTTTCTTTTGATTCTTGTTGTTTAGACTCTCATCAAAGAGCAAGACGTATCCATCTTTCAGACTTTTCACACGATCAGTGAGAAGGCTCAAAAAGTGTGGGGCAATGCCAAAGCGTGACAAGTATGCTGCTTTTTTTCTCCCCACTTAAAAGACTTAGCAATGGAACTATCTGGAAACATTTTGCCAAGCAGATCACCTAAAGTATACAAAGTTATATTAGGTATTACACTGTTAACATCATGCACATCACAAATTATTATAAAATATCTATTTAGTTTGGAAATAAGATTTCAGTGCATGAATATTTACTACTTGCATGGCTGGAACAGTAAGACCAATGGGAATCAATCAACTTTAAGCACCAAAGAACCTCTGCATTTAATGTATCATCCTTAGTAAAAAACAAACTTGATGTCAATTTATCTCTATCTTGGGCTATAGTTGTTGATGCTTCTGGTACATATTTTGAACTGGAAGATGAAGTTGAAGTAGGTACTTTCTTTGAGATCATGAAATCCTTCACTGATGTTCCTGTGAGAACAAAATATGGAAATCCTCAACAATGAAACCATCTACTGGGTTGTATTTCTTGAACTTTGTAAAGAAACAAAAAAGAAAGAAACAATGCAATTGTAAATAATTGTATTTAAGTAAACCAAAGCTTATAAAAAATACAACACTAAATATGCACTAATTAGTGCATGCATGATAGCACAAAATTACAAATTAAATATCATATTTACAGGTGAAAATTTATTAAAATGATGTTGATGCACATTATACCCTCACTGATCACAAAAAATTTATCCATCCATACAATAGTCAAAGTATTTTGCAGTATTTTTTTTCAAATTTCATTTTTTGTCAATAAAGATTATACAAAAGCATTTAGGAATTTAGGATATGATATCACCTACCTTGAGAAAGTTTTTCATTGCTTTAATGTGACCGGCAGCCTTAGAATGACTTGTCAATGCTGACTCACCCATACTAGTGATACTGAACGTCTTCATGCATACCCCACATCGAGCACTGAATGGGTCACCATGCACTTTTAATAGCCAAGTATTGTATGACGTTTTACCCAACCAAAGATCATTAAATCTACATTTTCCATTTTATGTAAATTTATTCAAACAATGCATGACATGCATACATTTCCATAATTTCCTTTCACAGCAAAATTTATAATCACACATTCTTTTATTCTTTCACAGATGCCATTTTGAATATTTAATTTCATTTTACTAGTTCCAGGGCCCAAGCTACCCTTTATTAAATCATACTAAATACTAGTCTCCCCAGTGAGTCTCCCTCCTCAACCACTGAAATAATTTGCAGACCCATTAATAACTTCAATGGCATGACCATGTGGCTGACTTCTTCTCGGTTCTCAAATTAAATTATGGTAATTCTTAATGACAACCGTCAGCAAAGTTATGTTTATAAAATTCTGATCAAGAAGAAAATTTAGCATTCAAGGACTTTCAAGCACTTCACTATGAATTCAAGGACTTTCAAGGCCTTGAATTTTTTATTTCAAATTCAAGGACATTCAAGGACATTCAAGTTTTGTACAAACCCTGTGGAAGACTTTGGACTCAAAGTTCCTTCCTTGGTCAGAGTGTAGTTCTTCTGGGATGCCAAACCTAGTGAACAACTGATTAACAAGCACCTCTGCCATCGTATATGCTTTCTGATTAGGTACTGGAAAAGCTTCAGGTCATTTAGTGAAATAGTCCTGCACTATAATGATGTATTGATTTCCGTCACTTGTTTTCGGAAGCGGTTCCAACACATCAACTGTAACTCGCTCCATTGGACAGCCAACTTGGTATGATTGTATTGTTGTAATGTTACACGCCATGTAACAGCGTAACTTTTCTCTGCTCTCCCTTCCGAGATGAACGTACATTGCATCTCTTGCAAAAATTTTCTACAAATTTCCTTGAGTTTAACCAGTAGAATCTGCCCCACACTCTTGCCATTGTCAGGGTTCGAATTAATTCTGAAAAAATGGTTCGTAAATTAATTTTTTATATTTTTAGAAAATTTTAAGGAATTTTCAAGGAATTTTCTCTAATTGGAAGTTAAAAAGTGGAAGCACTGCAATTTTCAAATATATAATATACATCGCAAACTCGCAAAGAAATAGAATTTTGGGTGGAATTATAATCGTTTTTAAGTACAAATATCTTCAGAATATAGATCCTTCATCACATTTACAAAGAACTGAATTTATTATTGTATATTTTTATCAATTTGAGAGACTTTTGATTCGTGATTTTGATCAATTTCTATGAAATTGGGTTAGTGAAAAATGAAAATCGATTCGTGATTCACGAATCACGAACTGTTATTTCGAACCCTGATTGTCTTCCTGATTCCGAAGTGTCCAGCCGTTGAGGAGTTATGTAGATGTTGCAAGATATCACTCTGAATTGCTTTCGTAGCCAAGAGCAAAATTTTCACCTTGTGTCCATCCGCTTCTTCCCAACGCCGATAGAGGATTCCATTAATAACTTTTAACAAATCCCATTGTGCCCAGTACGACTTAGCTGTTGCACTACAGGCTGCGACCTCACTCCAGTCCAGTCAATTGTACTTGGTTTTCCAGCGAAGAATAGGGCCTATGTTAGGATCTTCATTTTGCCGAGCAATTAGTTCTTCGTGTGACCAAATCTTCAATGGGGTTTTGTCATCAACCGTAACTCTCATTGTTGTTTTATCGTCTGTTTCTTCGCCCACTGACAATAGATTACTATCGTTCAATATTTCTTTCTCTTCCAATTTTTCACAATACTTGCAATCTGATGTAAAGCAAGGACGGCGTGATAACGCATCTGCATTCAAGTTAGTTCTCCCAGGACGATGAATTATCTCGAAATTGTACTCTTGCATCTTCTGAAACCACCTCGCGATCTGACCTTCTGGTTGGCGGAAATTTAATAACCATCTCAGTGACGAACGGTCGGTCCTAATTGTAAATTTCCGACCGTACAGATTATAATGGAACTTTTCCACAGCTTTCACAACTGCTAATAATTCCTTCTGTGTAACACAATAATTCCTTTCAGCTCAACTTAGATTGCGACTGAAATATATGCTATGGCACGCTCCTGGCTATTTTGTTCCTGTGAGAGCACAACCCCAATGCCAAAATGACTTGCATCTGTGTCCAGGATAAATTTACCCTTTGGTTGTGGGTATGCCAAAATAAGTGTGTTTGTCAGGAGATCTTTCAATTTGCGAAAAGCATCATCACACTCACCAGACCACTGAAACTCAACATTTTTCTCTGTCAACTTATGTAACGGACTAGCCACAACTGAAAATGCTGGAACAAATTTACGGTAGTATGAACAAAGACCCAGGAAACTCCGTAATTCTTTCTTGTCGTGGGGAGTCGGCCAGGTTCTCACTGCTTCGGTCTTGCTCAGAACAGTTGCAATTCCACTATCAGTTACAATATGTCCCAGGTATATCGCTTCTCACCAAAAAAGTTGAAATTTCTTTGGGTTCAATTTCAAATTGGCTTCCTTGAGTCGGCCAAACACTTCGCGAAGGTGCTGAATTTCCTCGTCAAAAGTCTTGCCGTGAACCAAAATGTCATTGTGATATACAAGGCAGGTAGTCCACGGTAAACCAGTTTCCATAAGTCTCTCAAAAGTAGCCGGCACGTTACATAAACCAAACGGCATTGCCGTAAATTGCCACAGTCCTTCACCAGTGGAAAAGCTGTCTTTTCCCTTGCTTCGTTATTGAGGTTCACCTGCAAGTAACCACTTTTGAGATCCAGCGTTGAGATCCAGCATTGAGAACCACTTTGACCCCACAAATGCATCCAGAGCTGTGTCGATCCGAGGTAGCGGATAGGGATCTTTCCTTGTAACATTGTGCTTCCTGTAATCGATGCAAAATCTTGGTGTGCCATCCTTCTTCTTCACGAGTACAACGGGAGCCTTCCAGGGGCTATTCGACCGTTCAATAACTCCGTCCCTTACCATTGTTTTGACTGCCTTCCTTGCCTCCTCCATCTGAGAGATTGGCAATCGACGTGGTGGTTGTCGTATCGGCTTACTGTTACCCGTGTCAATTTTATGGGATGTAAGAGAAGTCCTACCCAAGTCCTGAGCACCCTTCGAAAATATGTCCTCAAAATCAGCTAGCAACTCATGAGTTTCTCTTTTTGAGAACTATCAAGGCCTTCTGCGCTCCTTTCATAAAGTTCTTGCAATGCTTCATGGAATTCAGGAACTTCCTGCTTCATAGCACTGCTGTTTCCTGACAACAAAGTTACACATTGGACTGACTCACAACTAGCCTCTTCTGTTCCCTTCTTAACTACTCTCTCTTTGTCAGACAAGTTCATTACTCTAACAACAAACCTCGGCTTACGTAGATCAACAACAGTTCTCGCCAAAATTATTTCACTTGGTAACCCTCGCTTCCTTGTTGGTTCCAGGCTTCCCCACACCTCACCGGAAGATTCACCATCTTGTAGTCGCCCAGGAATTAAAGCTTCGCTTTGTGCTGGAATTGCCATGGTCTCAGCCACATACACTCTCCAACACCTTGGTTGCTCCCGACTCTCCCGGCTCCCCAACTGTTGAAGTTGAATCTCCTCTGTGCCAATCCGCAGGCATCCATCCAGCACATCAACAATACAACCATTTGGCCCCAGAAAGTCTAAGCCAAAAATACACTTGTTTTCAATTTCCGCGATCCACACATCCTGACCTGTTTCCAGACCACCAATTGTAACACATACACTGCCCCAGCCCCACACTGGAGTTGTGTCACCTGTCACCATATGTAAACAACTGTCCACTGGTTTAATATCTACTATCTTACTTTTCGATATTCTCCTCACCATATCTGGTCGAACAATTGTGATATTTGAACCTGTATCCACAACCATCTCGCACAGAATATCTTCTATTTTACCAGATACAATAAGACTGTCCACAAATCCACCAATCCGACCAGTTTTAAAAATAATGTTAGGGGTTTTGCTTTCGTTGTTCCTAGCTGGATTTCCCCCCATAAATCCAGCTACTTGTTTCCCGTACGGTCTTGAATGTCGTTATCTTGCTCTTCTGGGCATTTGTCCCTCAAAATGTCCCAACCTCCCACAACCCCAACAGCACCTGTCTCTACATGGTTCTTCAGTACATCGTCGTTGTTTATTAATTGCTGCCACGACGCCAGCCATACATTTTTCCATAGACTCTTCAAGACTACCCTTACCAGACCAGGGGAAATTTCCGTATCAATAGACAATATAAGGAAATCCCACCGCTGCCACCACCAATGTTATGCGTTACAGGTAAAAGACAAGCAGAACTCAAAAGATTTAGTACATTTATTAAGACTTGTCTTACAACAACCAGACTTGAACAACAACAACATATATCTTAGGCGTATTTTATAGTCTACACCAATTTGTATTTCAAATTATTCACATAGGACAGACAAACATTCAATTATACTGCACACTTAGACGAACACATATTACAAAACAACACACGAATACAAAGTACATTACAATATATTGTAATTTTATCTTCTAAAAACATATTGTAATATATTTATACATAGGGCCCCATTGAAAAACTCCTTGGAGATATGGGCTCCCTGCTTAAATATTATAATAAAAAATTAAAAACATTGTACATGTATATAGTTAGTACTGTATTTGTTAGTTGCTTATCCTAGTTTAATATTTTTATTGTAATGTTTGTTTGTAGTTGAACCGTCTATAGAATCAATATATCTGTCACGTTCAAATTAATGTTCGGTTACGATTGAGTCACAATGTTGTTGTTGATCATATTTATTAGGAAATTTGTGATTTAACAATTTAAAATTTTTGACTGGGATATTTAATTACCTCCGCCAGGAGGTTATGTAATCATCTGGGTTTGTATGTGTGTGTGTGTGTGTGTGTGTGTGTGTGTGTATGTGTGTGTGTGTATGTGTTTATCTGTGAGCATGATAACTGAAGAAATACCAAACATATTCATACAAAATTTCTTTAATGCATTTCCCATCGGCTAAGGAAGAACTGATTAAAATTTGGTTGAATTTGGTTAAAAATTGAACGAGAAATGAACAAATTTTTGTCTTGCTTTTCCCGGTCAATTAAAAAAAACTCACTGAATGCGTAATTAGGACGTGTATAATGTATGCACGCAGTACTAAGAAGACAATGAGATGATAAACCTCATTAAGCTTCAGCCCTAATTATCTATTGTCTTAGTTGCATTTCACACGACCGAAATTTAATGTGGGCGGAGGTATGCAGTCTCTGAGTGCCCTCTAGTTTCACATGTTTTTATATTTGCACAACTTTAATTTTGTGGGTTTTTTTTTCACTCACGAAATTAAAGTTGCGAGAAATTAAGTACAAATAAGGTATGTAAAATAATTTAAACTAAATTTGTTCAATTGTATATCAACTCATGTTCAGTTGAAAAGATCAGATTTTTTTATGGAACTGTTTCTGAGATTTTGCCATTTTGGTGAAAGCTTGGAACTCAATCACGAACTTGCCATATTGCTTTCTAGGGGGTAGAAAAACTTTCTTTTGAATAGCATCTAACATTGAGTTAAATGCATTGTGATGATGATTGTCGGGTTTGATTAACATAGGAGGATGTAAGGCTTTCACCCACCAATATGTTGTCTAATTTTCTCCATCATGTTCGATGTGTGGGGAATGTTGTTGTTCAATGTCCCCTCACGTTCACAATAAATCACAAATCACAAACCAAAATAAAGTTTTAATGCTCACAAAATCCCAAAAGTCTCTCACAAAAAAAACACAATGCTGTACTCTTCCTAGAACTAAAACTAACCATTTACTTCTGGTACAGGTTACCCTAGCTACTTTCAACACCCCAACATTTATTTTATAAGAGGCATTAAACTCGATGTAACGATAGCAGAGCAGGAAATAGAAGTAAACAAGAGTGCTATAAGCAAAGTTGAGAGCAATCTACACGAGATAAATAGTGGTTATGAAGACCTTCGTCTACAGTTCGATGAATACAAGAAAATAACTGAAGTATTAATTCAGAGGGACATGTTTCAACATTCGACAACATTTGAATATTCAAATGTGATTGATACAGTTAATCCAAGCGAAACTAAACGGTACCAAGATGAAGTAAGCCGGCTCAAAAAGGACCTTTCTAGTGAGAGGGAGAAATGCAAGCACTTGGAAGCTGATCGATCTGTCTATTCTAATCAAAGGAAGATCTTGTTAAGTTAATGAATTGAACGATACTATTGCCTCTCTTGAATTTAAACTTAAAGCCACTGAGGCGACTAATGTCTCCTTGAGAGATCTAATTAAGACCAAAATCTCCAATTCAAAGCAGAATGAAATTTTCCCTAGCAACACTGCCACAAAGAACAATAAACAATGCGCGGTCAATCATGTAGAACAAAGCAATCTTGTCCTTAATCGAGTTTTGGGTGAGGAAAACTCCCTGACCGACCTTGCACAGAAGTCGCACGTGACTTCCAATCTAGTCGTTTCCAACAATAGACGCATCGACAAAGACTTATCAGTTAAGGATAATCAGTTAATTTTAAATAGTGATAACAGCCCAGCCGACCTACTACAAAGCCATAATAATAACCTGATCAGTGGCGCCAAATCTCGCGACGGTCAGCACATGAAAGGTAATTCAAATGCAAGGAAATTGCCAAATATTACCGAACTCAAATCCCTACTTCAAGTCCCTGGAGTGTCAGCTACTATGAATGAAGTTGACAACAAGGTTGACACATATCCCATTATCGATGGTCACCACTGCAGTTTGAGGAACGTCAGTTCATCAACTTTTAATGTTCTTAAAGACATAGAATTTTTACCCCTAATCAGTCTCAACGAATCCCTAGAATACAGTCATCAAGTTCCTGTTGATTTCAAACGTCCTTTTCAGGAAAATACAGGACGGAAGCCACCCCCCCTCGATTGTTCGATCCCACCAGCGATCCCCAGAATGGCTAAATCACCTAGTCCTTGTCCGTCAATTAATGAACACGTAATTAGTTCCAATACTGCTGATATTAACTATCCAAAGAATATTAATATAATAACGCAGCAAAGTAATAAAAATAATTTGAATTCTGTTCCGTCTATTAAACTTGTTTGCAAAATTCCTACTAGAATTACAGTTCGTCGAAATAATTTATGTGCCAAATCAAGGCCGAGAACTCATGCAAGGAAAGTTAATGTCAACAACTTACTATGTGTAAATTTTGTCTCAAATCCAAAACCAGATATGTTACGTTTTGCAACGATTAACGCTAGATCACTAAGAAATAAGGTAGCTGTATTCTCCGACTATATTGTTGATCAAAATATTGATGTTTGTGTTGTAACTGAGACTTGGTTGAAGGACATGGACACAACAAGCATTGCAGGCGTTTGTCTCCCTGGATATTCATTTAAATCATTTCCCCGTCAATCTAACAGATCAGGAGGAGGCACAGGCGTAATGTTTAACACCAATTTATATGTCTCTCTTTCTGGTGGTGGAGAAACGCAATCCTTTAAATATTCAGAGTGGAATTTTTCCATACTTGAATATTCCATTAAACTTATTGCTATCTATCGTCCACCTTATTCTGCGGCTCACCCTGTTCTACCTGGAAAATTCTGTGAAGAATTCTCAAACTATTTGGAGGATATTGTTCTATGTCCAGAAATTCTATTGATTACTGAGGACTTTAATTTTCACTTGGATGATACAGTTAACAGAAACACGATAAAATTTAATGAGATGCTTGAAACATTTGGCCTCAAACAACATGTTTGTACTCCAACACATTCATCCAATCATACACTGGAGCTATTGATAAGTCGATCTACAAGTGACATTAATATCCTTTTGATTGAGAGTACTTTCTTTCTGTCCAACCATTGTTTTGTAGAATGTAAATTATCTATTCCTCGTCCGAATGACTCCAAAAAGCTAATTTCTTATCGTGAACTGAAAAAAATTAACATTATTGACTTTAAACTTGATCTAAGCAATGTGAATTCACATTGCGAAAACATTGCACATCTTGGTGAATTACATACTTTCACGTATTTTAAATACGCATGCTCCTGTCCGAAGAAAGCTAATGAAAGTTAAGCATTCAACTACTTGGTACAATGACGAACTAAGACAATTGAAAGTAAAGCGTCGGAGACTAGAGAGAAAGATGCGGAAAACAAAATTAGAAGTAGATTGGACTGCCTATCGGAAAATATGTAACCGATATTGTTACTTGTTGAATAAAGCCCGAACTGATTATTATACTTCCCTTATCAGTGATAGCTCCAACGATCCAAAGAATCTTTTCAGAATTGTGAGCTCCCTTTGTAATGCACAGCATGAAGATCCCTTACCACCTCATGACGATCTTGGTCAATTAGCAAATAGGTTCAACGAATATTTTTTCCGCAAAATTGAATTGATTAGAGAAAATGTGGACAGTATCCGTGTCGATCCTCCGTTGGTGCATTACCGTAATCCTGAAGTCAAATTAGAATCTTTTGAGATACTTTCTTCCCAGGATATTCATGATGTTATTATGCAATTGTCCAGTGCCAGCTGCAAGCTTGATCCGATCCCATCATGGCTTGTTAAAATCTGTTGTCTGGAACTAATTCCCTCTATCACCAAAATTGTAAATTTATCCTTGCAGGAGGGTTGTGTCCCAGATCACTGGAAAATTGCTCTGCTGAAACCAAATCTGAAAAAGTCTAGTTTGGACCCAGTATTTGAGAACTTTAGGCCTGTGAGTAATGGGCAGCCGCCAACCAATTGCTGAACCATTGTGAAAAACATGCACCTCTCCCTACCTGTCAATCTGGCTTCAGGAAATACCATTCGACAGAGACGGCTCTGCTAAAGGTGCAAAGCGATATTCTTCTGAGTATGGACAGGCAGGAAGTGTGTTTTCTTGTACTCTTGGACTTAAGCTCAGCGTTCGATACAATTGATCATAAAACTATCATTGACGTATTGGAGTATCAATTTGGAGTGACGGATAAGGCTCTTGAATGGATAAAATCATATCTATTGAACAGGAAACAGAGAGTTGATCTGGATAACAATTTTTCTCAAGACTGCGATGTTAAGTACGGAGTGCCTCAAGGGGGTATGTATTTATGTATCCCAACTATATGACATTATTGACAGGCACTTACCCTCTTCTCATGGATATGCTGATGACACGCAACTTTATGTATCCTTTCACCCAGATTGTGAAGATAATTCAGAAAGTACCCTAGCCATACTGGAAGATTGTATTTCTGATGTTCGTACTTGGCTGTTGTCTCATAAATTAATGTTCAAAGATTCGAAAACGTAATTTCTTGTAATTGGTACACCACAACAACTTTTGAAAATAAACATTGAATCTGTTAACGTTGGTGGGGTCCAAATTAAGCCGGTTGACAGTGTTCAAAATTTGGGATCTTGGTTTGACAAGCATAGTCAGTTCATGTAGGCAAGATGTGCAGTAAAGCATTCAGAGGACTTTACAAAATACGCCAAATTAGAAAATTTTTATCTACTAATACAACGAAAACTTTGATACATGTTTTCGTGACATCACACATGGACTATTGTAATGCTCTGTTGGCTGGCATACCTCAGTATCAAGTCCAGCGAATGCAGAGAGTTCTTAATGCCGCTGCTAGACTAATCTACCACTGTCCAAGATTTTCTCACATCACCCCAGTTTTGAGATCACTTCACTGGCTACCAGTAAAATTCCGGGTGGAATTCAAAATTGCTTTACTGGTTTACAAGGCTCTTAATAACATTGCCCCTATCTATATCTCTGAAATGCTTATCCCAAAACAATGAAGTGATCGCTGGACATTACGATCGGATGGTCAAGGTCTACTATACATCCCGAAAACAAACTGTAAGACTCTAGGAGATCGGATCGGATCACAATTATGGAATTCTCTGCATCTGGATGTCAGGAACTGTGAAAACATTTCTGTGTTTAAGAAACGCTTGAAAACATTTCTTTTCAGTAAGGCTTATAACCCTTTGTAGGTTGAGACCATATTGGATTCTATCATTCTTATTATAGATACATACATTAGTGTATATTCTAATTGTATACAATACCATGTTTTATATAGCATATTTAATTCTTAATATACTTAGATTTTTATAATGTACAGCGCTTCGAGTATATAATATAACATATGCGCTTTATTTAAATAAATAAATTATTATTATTATAAATTATTATTGTTTATATCTTCATCAAATCTGTAATCTTCATTCGTGGAGGATTTATAGTTATTGTTTAGTCGGTGGTAATCGTTTGCTAATTGCGGAATCGTAAAAGAGCATACAGGTTAGTGTCAATATGCTAAATTGCTTATAATCTTACAGTGTCGTGTGATTCAAACAAAATGTTAGCTATATTTGAAAATGGCGCGTAAAATTTATAAACTTTGCCTCACCGTTAGGCCCACTTAAACATATGGTAACTCTTGCAATCCATCCTCTTCTCTGAGAAAAACTGTAGTTTAAACAATGATCATAATATTGGATTATTATCGGCAAAACTTCTTATTAATTTGTATTGACGTATTCTTGTTTTGGCGGACAGTGGACTGTGGAGCCCTTACGAAAATTTCCTATAGGAAAAATTCCTATAAGAATTTGGGACAAAATTCCTATAGGAATTTTTCCTATAGGAATTTTTCCTATAGGAATTCCTATAGGAAAAATTCCTATAGGAATTTTGTCCCAAATTCTTATAGGAATTTTTCCTATAGGAATTCCTATAGGAAAAATTCCTATAGGAATTTTTTCTACAGGAATTCCTATAAGAATTTAATAGGAAGATCTAGTCCCAAATTATTATAGGAATTTCCTATAAGAAAATAATTTATTCTAATTTCCTATAAGACTTTTGGTATTCCTGCAGAAATTCTAGAATCTAGATGAAATAATAGTAAATGACAGACAATGTTGTTCATCACTCTTAATTTTTTAATGCAAAAAATAGATATAAATATTAATATTGCAAATATAAAAATTAATATGAGAAATTGGTTATACTAAACATTACAAATCAATTATAGTTTTCACCTATTGTGACAAATTAATCGTTCTACCTCAATGCAATGCCATATGATGCGTCCTACTTTATTATTTTACTCTGTCTAACTATTTTACTCTGTCTAACTATTTTACTTTGTCTAATGCCAGACTATTTTACTCTGTCTAACTCCAGACAATTGTACTTGAATGTCAAGGGGAAATGCTGGCTCCGAATGGGTTCTCTAGCCTATATTCCTATATATGTGTCTAGTAACTCTAGTTAACCCATTGAATCACATTGCGCCCTGATGCGCCCTACTTTATTATTTTACTATAGGTTACTCTGTCTAACGCCAAACGATTTTACTCGTCAGAGCGCTGGCGCTTAATGGGCTAAACCATTGGTAATAACCATAATTGACATTTAAAGTTAAGTTTAAAACTGGCCTCAAAACATAGTCAAAACATTCTTGTTCTTGTTTGCTTTTCTGTACTTTGCAACACTTTCCCATGTTGTTTATATTTGTCCTCATATGTTGACGAACCTCTGAGGCCTTACATCCATACTTTGTTGATAGCTGTAAAAAGACAAATACATTTATTTTATGTATACCATTCCAATGTGTTTTGTTAACCCATTAAATATGCCCAAATGCACCCAATTTATTATTTTACTCTAAGTGGAAAGTCTAGCACTTTAATAGAATAAACACAGTAAAATAACAAAGTACTAAAAGTAGGGCACATTGCTTCTAAATATGCCACACAGCAGCTTTTGCAGTTAATTATTAACCTTTCAATGACCAACATTCATTTTGATGAGTAAAATCATCTGATAAATATCAAAGTACTGAAAGTGGGGATTGAGTGTTAGGGTGAATTGCATCTAAATGTACTAACGCCAAATAATGCAAAATAGTCTGGTATTAACAGGGCAAAATATTGAGCTTTGAAATAGAGCGCATTAGTGTGAATTTGTGAATTGGGTCTTAATGAGTTTACACAAAACACAGGGAGACAGCAAGGTAACCTATCAAAGTTGTCCACTCTCTTTCAAGTAAAATGATCTGGTGTTAGACAAGGTAAAATAAAAAAGTACTTAAAGTTGAGCACATTCATCTTAACAAGTTAGCATGAAATGTAAGCTAGCAGAGAGTCTGGTTAATTTGAATACCATCACATAGTTACTGTATGTTTATAAACTGTGGTTTAATTAATAGAAAAACATGGATAATTTTCCTGGCATTACACTAAAGCATGTCTAAAGGCTAACAGATTTTAATACATTGACTGGTGCAAGACCTCTCAAAATGAAAATTGTTTAATTTAAACAAAACATATGAATAAATACTGCTTCTGATTTGAGCAAGTAGTTAAATTTTCTATAGGCATGCATTAGATATGCCTGACAATTTACAATTAATCTGGCATACACAGTTGGCACTTGGGATATACAAATATATTAATAAACATGGATAAGTCTGATTCAAATATAAGACTTTTATAGTAGCATTTGTTGAAGTATAAATGCTATAAATATATTTATATCAGCATTCTAATTCCATTTATATTGTCGCGGCAAATTCAAATTTTATCGAACCACATGCTCGAATTTCACAAATGAAGATTGGAGGTATTTCCTCTATAATTTGCTTTATTATAAATAAAATATAAACTTATTCTTACCTGAACATTATGCAAACATCCCTGATCTATTACTAGTGAAAATCCAGTTGAATCCCATCAAAAATAGTTCTTATTTTGCACATAAACCATTGACAAACACTGACTTGAAAAAATATCGGAGGTGTGATGATCTATCCCTTGATGCTTTGCGCGCGTGGCAAGAAAACTAGACACCAGTCTGTCAGTCGCGCACATTGCGGTAATTATTCATTTAATCTTAGAAATAAATAGTCCCAGTATTAAATTCTCTATTAATAAATGTCTATGAGTAAAATACGATATAGGAATAGTGTAGTTGTATAAGAAATTAAAATTCCTATAAGAATTCTTATAGGATATGATAATGGTGAAAAAATTCCTATAAGAAATAGAAATTCCTGTAGTATGGTGGCCGATCGCTATCATTCGTATTTTTGTTAATAATAAAAACAAAATAACGTCTATACGTATTTTAAATGTAAACAGATTACAAATTGCATTTCAAATTGATAAACGATTTGAAAATAATAATCAAAATCAAATCAAAATGAGAATCAAATCAAAATCAAAATAAGAATCAAAGTCAAATCAAAATCAAAACGAGAATCAAAATCAAATCAAAATGAGAATCAAAATCAAATCAAAATGATTTTACAATTGCGAATAAAAGTGAATATGAAGTGAAATTTTATCGGCCTAGCGCTATCAAAATTCATTTGAAATTTCATATGACTTTAAAAGATAAATCGCAATAAAATGCCAAAAAATGAAATTTAAAAAATTTTTAAAATGAAATCGAAATTTTATCGGCCTAGCGCTATCACAGTATACCATAAAGCATTGCGCGCTATTTCCTGTGCGGAAAAATGTATAATAGCATTTTATCAGTATACAATATGGCAACCAGTTCATATTTTAGAAATGATTCTTGGCAAAACGATGCCAAATTAGAAGAAGACATGAAAAACTTCGTACGTCAAGGTATTCAACGCAAAGAGATGTTAGACTTTTTGAAACGTGATTTCCCGCAATATGCCTGGAGTATAGCAACCCTTGATAGACGCCTTCGACATTTCAACATCAAATACATAGACACTAATATATCTATTGATGATGTGCATGATGCTGTATCGGGCGAACTCCATGGCCCCGGTAAACTCCTTGGCTATCGTGCGATGCACAAGAAGATTAGACAGGAGCATGGACTGAATGTGCCAAGGGATCTCGTCCACGCCGTGATGTATGACCTCGACCCTGAAGGTCTCGAAGCGCGTGCTGTTGGAGCTAAGAGGAGAAAACCCAAAGGATGTTTCTCGAGCAAAGGACCAAACTGGGTTCATTCATTAGACGGACATGATAAACTAATGGGGTACCAGAACAGTACTTTTCCTTTGGCTGTTTATGGGTGCATGGACACTTGTAGCAGGAAATTGCTTTGGCTTCGTGTTTGGACGAGCAACTCCGACCCTAAGCTGATTGGACGCTGGTATCTTGAGTACCTTTACGAAACCAGAGTGATGGCTTCCTACTTGAGAGTGGACAAAGGCACAGAGACTGGCGACATGGCCACGATGCATGCTTTTCTGAGGCGCAACCACAACGACATTACAAATGCTTGTGACACTGTTCTTTATGGACCATCTACGTCTAATCAGGTCAGGGTACATAAATATTTATATGCATGCTGCTTTAATATTATTATTACTATAAATAAGGTTCAATGTCAGTTGAGTTTATACAGTATTATCTATGTTAGTGTAAACCTGAACATTTTCAGTGAGGACTTTAAAAAATACCTGTATATTTGTAAGTGCTCGCAAAAAACTGCCTCTTAGAATCACCAATCTTAATTCAATGCGCATTATGGTATGTACACTTCATAGGAAATGCACAATTAAATACAATTGGGCATTAAATATTAACTGTACGTTGTTATTGTTACTTATGTCCAGATTGAAAGGTGGTGGAAGGAAGTACACGAGAGACTTGAGAAATACTTCAAAGCGCAACTCTCTCAACTGAAGGGTGAAAATCTATACGATCCACACAGTGAAAAGGACAGGTGAGTTTTTTATGGCATTATATATAGACAATACCGAACATACCACATCATATTTATACCTCTCATGATGTAAGTGGTTTAAATTAACGCATGTAGATAATATTTCCGCGTCCTGTCAATTTGTCAATTAACATATATTGATATTGCCTGCCGCCCTTGCGTTTTGAACCCGGGACCTTCGAATTACTAGATTGAAAATCCAGCTTCAAACCCCAGCTTCGGCAGGCAATATGATATATCTTTCTGGAAATTATGATATATCTCACTCGAGAACATTTCATCCTTATCATATTAGGAGTGAATATTTCACAACTTAACACTTGCAGAACTAGTATTGTTGTATGCTGAATTAATATAAACAAGTATGTTTATGACATTCAGTATATAGTTCATAATTTTAATGATCTTTTTATATTTTAAGGATGATATTGGCATTTATACTCATTCCATTGCTACAAAAAGAGCTAAATACTTTTAAAGACAGTATTTGGAACACACACAGAATCCGCCAACAGAAAGATACTGAGCTACCAAGTGGTGTCCCTAATCATATATATTTATTTCCAGAGGAATATAGTTTAGAGGAGTGTGGTATGTAAAATTTCAGAAATATCACATTAACTTTGAAACAAGTTGAACCTGGCTATGACTGGGTACCAAACCTGCAGTGCATGTTGCATCTCATATTATTTTGCATCTTGCATTTTACATTTTACAGGCTTGGTACCATAGTGGCATCATCCATAAATCATCCACACATCACCTGAAACATTTTACTTACACCATAATTAATTAATAGGTCAGCCATGATATTGTTCAATTTTTGTTAGTTAGCTGTTACCAACACTATTTTTGTATAAACAAATACCTAGGTTGGGCTGTTTCTGAAGATGAGTTGGAGAAAGCAGCTAGCTATTCTGGTGTCTTGGCATATGGTGCAGACTTTTTAGAGGCACCAATCAGAGAAAAATGTGAACGTTTAGTCCCTAATATTGACGATATTCACCCAGATAATTGGACGGATGCTTATTTATATGTCCGAGAACATTATTCCATTTGATCATGGGTTTTTCCTTTGATTTAACTAATATGACCAATGAATGTCAAAGTACCAAATGTACTGTTAAATCTTTGGAGATGTCGGCATCAGGGAAGGGAGTTTATATCTTCATAGGGATTGATTGTGTGTGACAGTTACGTTTAGATAGTAATATTAACACAGCAAGGCGGGAAAATATTTACTGTTTAATATATAATATGTTCATCTGAATTTACAATAAAAAAGTGCATGATTGAGTGCATGCATGGTGCAATAGTTAATATAAATATTAGACCTAATATGCATAATGACGGTTTCTTACAGTCTGTGACTCCTACTACCGGGCCTATATATCAGAATACTTTTCAAGGTCTCTCTCCTCCGCAAAGCTTTCCTGGCTTTTTACGAAAGTGAGAGATAAAGACGCTAGACTGTACGAAAGCGAGAGATAGAGGCACTAGACTGTAATGAGCGAAACCGCCGCTTCAGCGGGATTCCTCAGTTTCATTCAACACAGTCTAGCACCTCTATCCCTTGTTTATAATGTCTTATGATATGGAAGCTTCGCCTTGTTAGTTAAAAAGCTAAGAAAGCTCTGTGGAGGAGAGAGTTTCAAGGTTCTTAATTTGAAAAAGTCGGCATATATTTGCAAAACATTATGGTAGTAGGGATCACACACTGTATAAGAAAAGATCATTATGCATAAGATCTATCACCGAACAAAACTATTAATATTTTTTAAATTATGTGTAAAAGTTTCCACAAAAATAGTCAAATTGCAAGTAATTATACCCAAAAGAACAATATGATTTTCAAAAATATTTTTTCTTAATTAAACTTAGTCAAATTGTTAAAGTTACTCTTTTAGCATTGGCAAGTCCAGTATTTTGCAAAATTTGTTGCACACATGTGAACTGGTTAAATTTTGCAATTGCCGTGCTGGATAAATTTCCGGTGCAAAACAAGAATTCGCCCCCTGAACTTGTTTCTTTGGTTGCCACTTCAGGATCACACAGCATGTAATCACACCCTTGAATGTCCAAGACCATCAATTGCTTGTCGGATCTTTCATACGAGTAATGCGCAAAGCATTCCGCTTTCTGGCAGAGATCAGTTTCGGTATTACCGCAAACATGTCCAGTATTATTTACATGTTTATCGAAAGTACCGGGGATGAAATCTTCTACTGTTACGCATTCATCCCCACATTTTCCAAAGAAAACTTTGTTGTATTGCAACACTTCACCAAACTCGTCAGCTTTGTCTTTCTTAACGACTTCCTGCTGTAATCTGGCTGTAAAATTCCTGGCGAGGTTGTGCATCTGAACTGCCTTTTTTGTGTGTTGCTCAACCGTTTGTCCCAAATACTGGATATCATCGACCGTTTTATTTAGGTTCTTTTTTACGACCCATGGCCCTTTGTCAAAGCCTTTCGTTTGACTTGTGGCTTTAAAGGCTTGCCGAAATCCTCCGGTGCCAATTGGGTCTTTGCCAATGACAAAGTCCACTTTGTTAGGTGTTGGTGCCCAAGACATATTTCCAAGGTCGAACTCGTAAATACGAATCTCCGTTGTATCATGAGTTGATTTGATTTCTTTGCCGACCCTCAACATTTCGACTGCGGACATACTTCTCGGTATAAACTTTGTTCTGACGGCCGCTGACGGCGTTGAGGTAGTAGCTGTTGCGCTTGCGTGGACCAACTGGACTGATTCGACTGCAATCTTTCGTTTCTTAATTGTAGGGACGGGGTTTTCTTTAATAGCTGGTTTATTTGCTACGTCTTCGCCATCAATAAACCACACATGGATGACGCTCAAGTTGGGTATTTGTTTAACAGAAGAACAGGACGGACCCTGCTCACCTGCTACAACATCACAAACGGCAGTTTCACTAATATCGAAATGGTTTAAGCATGCCAGTTTGATATTTTCTACCGTCACTTCCTCGTATTCGAACAGAACGAATTCCCTTGCGCCAATTCTCGTGTATTTCTGTGCCTTACCCGATACATCCGCACTCAAACGTTGAACCGTCATTGACTCTTCCTCTAGGATTTTGACACCAGACGTATTCTTTTTATTTCCTCGTTTCGCTGTCATTTGCTTTTTAAAATTCTTCCAAGCTGCTCGATCCGTCATGTTCGACAGGAGGACGGAGCACATGTTAATTTTGAACACATGCGCAATCACCTAATTTCATTTGAATAGCGCGCAATGCTTTATGGTATACTGTGATAGCGCTAGGCCGATAAAATTTCGATTTCATTTTAAAAATTTTTTAAATTTCATTTTTTTGCATTTTATTGTGATTTATCTTTTAAAGTCATATGAAAATTCAAATGAATTTTGATAGCGCTAGGCCGATAAAATTTCACTTCATATTCACTTTTATTCGCAATTGTAAAATCATTTTGATTTGATTTTGATTCTCATTTTGATTTGATTTTGATTCTCGTTTTGATTTTGATTTGACTTTGATTCTTATTTTGATTTTGATTTGATTCTCATTTTGATTTGATTTTGATTATTATTTTCAAATCGTTTATCAATTTGAAATGCAATTTGTAATCTGTTTACATTTAAAATACGTATAGACGTTATTTTGTTTTTATTATTAACAAAAATACGAATGATAGCGATCGGCCACCATACTGTAGGAAGGAGTTATTTCGTAAATTATATTTATCTGTATAATTTTTTATATAAGTAAAGTTCTTATACCCATGCATGTATCAGGCCATAGTGGTATAGGCTATGAATTTTTCCCACCATTTTCCAATCCTATAAGAATTCCTATAGGAATTTTTATTTCCTATAGGATTTTTTTTCACCATTTTCAAATCCTATAGGAATTTTCATTTCCTATAGGAATTCCTGTAAAACTATAAACTAATATATTCTAAATGTATGTAATTAATGTCACGTGTCATGTCCATGTATTGAACTCAATAAAAGATGCTCTGTAATGGCGATCCTAGAGAGAAATGTGCTTTGACTCAATCCCAATTTAATCTAAAGGAATCTCCGTCTGAAAGTTTATATGGCGTCCTCAACAGGTTATGGGCCCAGGGCGAAGATACTTTTTAACGGAGACGAGAGAAAATATGAGCTATGGGAGACGAAATTTATGGGATATCTCCACATTTTAAAATTGAAAGAAACGGTAGAGAGTGCTGAACCAAATGAAGCGAAAAACGCAGATGTTTATGCGGAACTAATCCAAGTTTTAGACGACCGATCGTTGTCATTGGTGATGAGAGATGCAAAGGACGATGGTAAAAAGGCCATAAGCATACTCCGAGAGCATTATATGTCAAGTGGAAAGCCAAAAATCATCGCACTATACACCGAGTTGACTACACTTAACAAAGGCGAAGCCGAGAGTGTAACCGATTACATGTTGCGGGCCGAGGCGGCTACAGCGGCATTAAAGAATGCCGGTGAAGAAGTTGGCGATGCTCTACTGATAGCAATGATCTTAAAGGGACTGCCACTTGAATTTAAAGCATTCAACACGGTTATAACCCAAAAAGACAAGCAGCCATCGTACACAGAATTCAAAGTGGCATTGCGGGCATTCGAGGAAAACGAAAAACCCATGGAGAAAAACAACGTTATGAAAACGGGGTTTTATACGAAAATGAAATGTTTCGCGTGCAAACAGTACGGACATAAAGCTGATCAGTGTACAAGATCGAAGAAATGGTGCAGTCATTGTAAGACAAGAACCCACAATACAAAGGATTGTAGAAGGAAAAACCAAAACCAGGACAAGAAGGAAGATGAAAGATCACAAGCGGCCAAGAGTGTTCAAGATCAAGAGGCACGCAGATCATTTGCTTTCATAGTAAGTGATGCACCTGCAGAGAACGATGTGGACTATTTGAAGGCAAGTTTGCTTGTAGATTGTGGGGCTACAACCCACATAGTAAATGATAAAAGTAAATTTACAAGTTTTGATGAGAGTTTTAACCCTGAAGTACATTTCATAGAATTAGCTGATGGGACAAGGTATAATAATATAGCTTTAAAAAGAGGTGATGCAAATGTTCTCTTAGAAGATAAACTAGGTAATCAACATAGTGTAACTTTACAAAATGCATTGTACGTACCTTCTTTTAGTCAAGATATCTTCTCAGTTCAAGCGGCATCTGAAAATGGTGCCTCCATCTCATTCCAGCCAGGGGGGCAAGCCTTTTTAAGCGCAGGTGATGGCACACAATTCGACATTCAGAAAAGGGGGCGTCTTTATTACTTATACTCTATCAAGTCTGCTGCACATGATCTGCAAACTTGGCATGAAATTTTAGGGCACTGCAATGTTAAGGATACCCTACAGTTACAACATGTTGTTGATGGTATGTCTATCAACAATAAGAAAAAGGTAAGTGATTGTGAAGTTTGCATTTTGGGAAAAATGACAAACATAAGAAATAGAGATCCAGATGCTAAAGGAAAGGTTCCTTTAGAGCTTGTACATGCAGACCTTGCAGGCCCAGTTATACCGGAGTCTAGTGAAGGTTTTAAGTATGTTTTGGCATATACTGATGATTATTCAGGAGCCACATTCACATACTTACTTAAGAGAAAATCTGATACATTAAGTGCTACAGAGAAATTTTTAGCAGATTCCTCCCCTTATGGGAAAATAAAATGCATTAGATCTGACAACGGTACAGAGTTTACAAATAATGCATACAAATCTCTTCTTGTAAGGAATAAGATTAAACACGAAACGTCTGCACCATATTCCCCGCACCAAAATGGGACGGCAGAGAGAAACTGGCGCACACTCTTTGAAATGGCCAGGTGCCTACTCATAGATGCAAAACTTGAGAAGAAATTTTGGCCTTATGCAGTTCTCACTGCAACCTATATACGTAATAGGTATTATAACAACCGGAATAAACAAACTCCTTACCAGGCCCTAACAAATAAAAAGCCAAATTTGTCTAATATGGCAATCTTTGGGACTGAGTGTTTTGCATACACCCAAAATAAGACAAAGTTAGATGCAAGGTGTGAAAAGGGAATTTTCCTTGGCTATGACAAAAGTAGTCCAGCCTATTTGGTCCTTTTCCCAGAAAATGGGAAAATTCAAAAAATAAGGAATGTGAAATTTACTAATAAGTTTAAAATCATTGAGCAAGATAATGATATCCAAACAAATGATGATATTCTTCATAGAGAGATAAGACTTGGAGCAGAAATGGCTCTTCCTCAAGTAAGGCCTGAGGGGGGAAAGTTCCCTTTGCAACCTGACAATGTCGAGGCAGGCCTACTTGAAGCTGAAAATCATGAGCCTGCTCCACAACCAAGATACCCTGTAAGGAACACTAGAAGGCCACCCCATTTAAATGACTACATTGTAGAAAATGATCTAGATGACGATGATGTGATAAACCATAATGTAGACTACTGTTGTGCTACATCTGTTTATCCAAAATCATATAAAGAAGCCATTAAATCAAAAGATTCTGAAAAATGGTGTGAGGCCATGAATGAAGAGATATCATCCTTAAGTGAAAACAATACTTATACACTCACAAAACTACCTGAAGGTAAGAGCATAGTGGGAGCACGTTGGGTGTATACAGTTAAGGAAGGTAAAAATGGTGAAAAGAGTTATAAGGCACGCTACGTTGCAAAAGGGTATTCACAAGTACCTGAAGTTGATTATTTTGAAACATTTTCACCAACAGCAAAGATAACATCAATCCGTATGTTGATGCAGTTGGCCCTAGACCTTGACATGGAAGTGCATCAAATGGACGTCAAGACGGCGTACCTCAATGCACCAGTCGACTGTGAACTGTATATTGAGCAGCCAGAAGGGTTTGTCAAACACAGTGAGTCTGGGGAAATGTTAGTATGTAAACTTAACAAATCACTTTATGGTCTCAAACAAAGTGGGCGCAACTGGAACCATATGTTGCACACTTTCTTGACCAGTAAAGGCTTTACACAACTTGTTTCTGACCCTTGCGTGTATATTAAGAAACAAAATGGCAAGACAACTATTTTGCTTATATGGGTAGATGATATTATTATAGCATCCAATTCAACACCCTCACTAAAACAAGTGAAAGATGATTTAAGTTGTAAGTTTAAGATGAAAGATCTTGGAATACTTTCATGGTTCTTAGGTATTAATTTTACCTTTACTGGCAACACTATAACTATGGATCAGATTAGGTACATCGAGAGAATTTTAATTAGGTTCAAAATGGAAGGATGAAAACCAAGGGTGACTCCAAGCGAACTTGGAGTCAATAAGGCAAGTGCTGGGAATTCAGACGAACCCGCTGATATCAAGTTGTATCAGGAAATTGTTGGGAGCCTTATCTATGTGATGACATCAACTAGACCCGACCTTTCCTTTATTGTGACAAAGTTATCTCAGCATATGTCAAATCCTTCCAATGTCCATCTTTGTATGGCAAAGCATGTGCTTCGTTATCTAAAAGGTACTATAGATAATAAGCTCACTTTTAAAAAGTCTAAGGAGGGATTGAGTATGCACGGGTACTGTGATGCTGATTGGGGATCATCGGAAGACAGGAAAAGTATTACAGGTTATGTTTTTAAACTATCAAAAGATGGACCAGCCATCTCATGGAAAAGTAGGAAACAGCCAACGGTAGCGCTATCAACCTGTGAGGCTGAATATATGGCGCTAGCAGCTGCAGTTCAGGAAGCTAAGTTTCTTAGGCAATTACTAGGGGAGTTCCTTAGCATCTTTATTCTCGAACCAACCATACTCCATTGTGATAACCAAAGTG